TACTGCGACGGCGAGATCCGCACCTTGGCGTTCCCCGTCGGCCGGCAGTCGTGGATCTGGAGCCCGTGGATGATGACGTTCGTGACGTACTGGAGCGTGATGCACGCGCCGTTGGCCACGTGGACGTCGGCCCCCCGGCCGTCGATCGTCTTGAAGCTGTTGACGAGGAGCTCCTGCTTCAGGGTGATGACCATGTCGCGGTCGAACAAGATCCAGAGGGGCCGGTCCTGGATGGCCGCGTGCCGGAGGGTTCCCGGGCGGGGCTCGACCGGGTCGTCCGACGGGTCGGTGACGACGTAGTAGCGGCCGTAGAGGCCGCCGGTGGCTGCGCGGCCGAAGCCGACGGCGCAGTTGGCGAGGCGGCGGCGGTGGCGGTCCCAGTGGGGGTCGCAGCGCCAGCAGTCGTCGATGGTGTTGCCGGTGCCGCAGGAGAGGAAACCGGCGTCGGCGAGGCTCCTCCGGACAGTGCTGTTGCGGGTTGACCTGTCAGATGGTTGAAATTTGATCCTTTTTACATTTTTGGTGATAATATATTTTTTTAAAATTCACGTTGTAAAACTAAAATATAACTTCAAAAATTAAATAAAGCTCATATAAATTTGAGTTATTCATTTGTTTAGAAGTTATTCACATTATTGGCCCTGTGCAAAGATGACACGAAGTTATTCACATTATTAAATTCATAAATTTGACTCCCATATTTGTGTTAATGGTAGCATTAGTCTCAAAAAGAAATTCTACGGTCCCGTTACAGAATCATTTCGTCAGAATTTGTAATTGTTAAATCAATTATCCAAATAAGGAAACCACATGAATTTCATTACTACAATATTCAATTGCACACAGTTGGAAAAAATTAGATTGAAACGAAATATTTGGGGTGCGGCGAATTAATTCGAAAATGGCGTCGGTGGAGCCAACCACTTTTCTTAATAGACAACACAGTATGAGGCTCATTTAATTAGGTCATTTTCCTCATGCTACTGCTCTGCATCTAATTTTAATTTTATTCACAAATTCTTGTCGCATATTGTCTAAAAGTTAGGCCCCATCCAAATGTTCATAATTTTTTAATAAAAATGTACTTTTATGTTAAGTCAAAGTAAATTGTTTTTGGTATAAAGAAAGAAACCAAAGGCTTAAACAAGTACTTGACAGGGGTACGACACTCCAATATTATCATGGTCGAGCCAAACACTCAAACCCTCCGGCGGGGAAACTAGGCGGTGTAGGCCAATCGGGTACGATGCCGCCATACTCGCCAAATGATCGGCGGCGAAATTCGCTTCCCTATAAATATGGTAGATACGAACACTCTTGTTTCACTCTTGTTCCCTAAGTCAAAGTAAATTGGCCCAACACAAATCCACTCTTGTTTGATGGAGTTTGGCACGACCTATTATGGAAAATCTTGGTGGCATTTTGTTTCTTTTTCCAAACTGACTTGAATATTTTATACAGGAATTTTTTAAGTCAATATTAAAGTGCATAAGTGATAAACTCTGCTATTCTTACCTATAATCATACCAACTTGGGATGAAGAAATCTAAAATTGGCCTAAACTTTACGTGCATGAAATTTCATACTTTAGTTACGTACATGAAAAAGGTATAATTGTCTAATCGTTAAGTTTGTCTGACTGTAGTCGTACTTTAAAGTAAAATGATCCAAAAAAATAAAAATTAAAAAAAAAAAAGAATGAGCTGGCATGCGCTTGAGCAGGCTCCGTAAATGAAGCACAATCGAATCGTAAAAAATGAGATGCATTACGCAACCAGATTTAGAAAAATGCTTAGCAAGACTCGTAAATCGTAATACTCCATTTGTAATTAGCGAACAAAACACAGTACTACTCCACAAATTCTGAATTGTTGCATGATTTTTGAGAAGGTAGGAAATATATTATAGAACATGCATTTGATTTGAAGCATGGATCATGTGAGTTTAACTCATGATTCGCAGTTTTGCATACACTACACAGAAACAAAATAACCGAACAATAACGAATGAAAGTGAATCGACATTAACATCATCAAACTACACAGACTAAATGAAGAAGAAAAGCAAAAAATAAATGGACTTACATATGGTCATCATCTACTGCCCTTTTGGAACCGGCTTCAATATTTTCATCAGGGCTGTAAATTATAACACGAAGAGTGATCGAAATTAGTCAGCTCGTTTTTATTTTCTTTTATTTATTTATTTATGATCTTACGTTATAGATCATGAAAACGACTAATCAATGGGGCCGAAAACAGGTGATCACTATTCACCAACATTGAATGTAACTAAGTAACTAACCTATCCGCCATTGTTAAGCTTCTCAAGCTTTTCGTCCGCCTACTTCTACCCGAACTGTAAAAAAAAAACACCAAATCGAAAGTGAAAAAATTAAGTCACTGCCATCAAATCAAATTATTCCAAAACCGAAAATCGGAATCGAAAACAGAGCAAAGGAACAAAAAACAGCATAAATTACAGTTTTTTCCCCCCACAAAATCACGTCTGATCTGAAAATTCAGCTTCATACTAAGCCGATCGATTTCAGGAAAAACGCACACACACAAAAACACGCAGTAGAATCGCTATGAAAAATACCTTTCTCTCACGGCCACGGCATTGGCGAACAGCAGCAAGGCCACGAGTGCGGGCAGGGCGACGACTCTGCGACCGACCGCCATTGACGCTAACCGAGCTTTCTTTCTCTAAAAAGCTAACTTTCTCTCACTAGAATTTCAATTTTTTGCCTCCTTCTTTGTGTGTGTGTGTGCGCGCAGGTGAAGGCAGGGGAAGAGTGTACGTTAGCAGAAATGGCGCAAACTATATTTATAACGGAATGGGAGGGAAAGTGGGGTAGCGAGAAAGGTCCACGTTCAAATTGGTTTTGCCTAACTCCATTAGACTTGACTGGCTTAACCATGGTTAGGTTAGATAGTTCGGTTATTCCTATTTTGTTTATAATTGATTTTGCTCTTTTTGGTAATTTGAAATGAAAATATTCGATCTTATTGAAGAAAGAATATAATAATTTGGTCATTAAAAGAAAAAATTGGTTTGGTGAAATCTTGTTGAGGGATGATTAAGTGTGTGCATCGTTGGGTCCACTTAACTCGTAAAACCGAAATAATCGAACTCATCGTGTACTGAAATCGGACTTACTAAAATTCAAACCTAATATCGAACTGAAATAACAAAAGGTATATTACAATTTATAATAATATAAGTAGACGTATTTAGTTTTTACTGTATTTTTATTTTGATATATCTAAATATAATAAATTTACAACATAAATTCGACCGAGATTCGATTAATTTGGATAATCTAAGGCTATGTTTGGTAAACCAAATAAGCTAGCTTATAGCTTATTTGGTTAGCTTATAAGCTTCATGTATTCAAATAAGCCCCATTTGGTAGGACGAGCTTATTTAAAAAGCTTGAGCTTATTTGATAAGCTTATTTAGGTAGCTTTTCAAATAAGCTAGTTGAATATTTTATTCTAGCTAGCTTATCAGCTAATTTTACCAAACACTTTTATCATATAAGCTAGCTTTTCAGCTATAAGTCATAAGTTATAAGCTATAAGCTTGAAAATTACATAGCTATAAGCTAACTTATCAGCTATCAGCTAGCTTATCAGCTAGTTTTACCAAACATACCCTAAAAAAATAAATTCGAATCCAACTTAACCAAAAATTTGTAAATAAAAATCAATAGCCGAACTAACATGAACAAAAAAATAAATAAATAAATAAAAATTGAATTATATCATCATTAACCTATATTTTAATAAAAATTTGCACTCCCCTGATAACTTATTATTCTAAACTAATAAATACATAATAAATAGAACATCCAACTTTTATACTTCAGTCAGTTATTTCTGTTTTAAACACCTAGGATAATCTACGCTGACCATACACAAATTAAACTCAACAATTAATCAACTTTCACATAATTTAATTTAATCTCATTAATTAGTGTAAAAACTATTATATCAGTGGATCGGTTTTGCTATGAAGCCAACAGTTGGCTCCATAGTGGAGCCAACCTTCTATATTCAACAAATAAACCTACCATATTAATGAAATTATATTAGTGTTATTTAAGTAATCAAAGAATATGGTAGGGTTACTTATTATATATAGAGTCAACTGTTGGTTTCATAGCAAAACCGATCGACCGCTATGTTGAAAAGAAAATATCTTCAAATCTCTCTTTTACCACATAAACTACACTTATAATATTTTTTTTTTTTTGGGAAAAAAAAAATATTTTTTTTATTCATTTTAGTTAAGTTGGACCTAACCTGGTAAACAAAATAATCAGAGGAAAAGCATTAGTGAATGGTGGTGTGCCCAATTTTAGGCATAAGAGATCATAATTTCATAAGCTTAATTATGGTCAATTCAAGGGTGATATATGTGTTAGGTATTTTATTACTTGACTAGCAAAAATTACGAACCAATTTTATTTTGTTTAATTTAATTTTATCCTTCTCTCATCAAGTGTTTGTGTTTGACTAGCAGCAGCAGGAGGAGCAGTTGCTTTTAACACATTGCCTAATTATTTGTTAGGCCGTTGGTACTTTTTTTTTTTTTTTTTCAATAATTAGAATAATTATTAACATGAAACTATAGGTAATATAGGAAACGGTTGCAGTCTCGTTGGTGGAATAGTTCCGTCATAATTTATTATCGTAGATACACAATATAATCTACATGTGTATCTGATGATGAAAAACATTAACTGAACCATGCATCCTGTAACGGGACCTTAGCGTTTTCCAGTAATATGTAGAAGTTGATATGATAAACACGTGATAGTTACGAGACACAAATTCTTCTATGAGTTAATTCAACTATTACTCTATAAATTAAATTGAGTTGTATATTTTGAATAAAGTAGATTGAGTGCATGAGTTTGAATTTTGAATTCAGTAATATTTAAAATATAATGATTAAAATTATTGTAATGTAAATGTAGGAAAAAAAATTATAGGAAGTTATAATAAAAATGTGAGTGGATAAATAGTGAACTAAAGTCAATATGATGTGTAAAATGATTAATTGGTATTATGTAATTATATTTATTATGAAAAATAGGAGCCTTACCAACAGGGTTGGTTCAAGTGGTAAGCAGTTTGATGTCGCTTAAGTAAGGTCTCGGGTTCGAGTCCTTGTGGATGCAGAAAATCCTTGTTGGGAGACTTCCACCACTGCCGTGTGTGCGACCTGGGTCGACCAACAGATTAGTCGGGGCATAGCTCCGGATACCTTGGCTGACTACCGAAAAAAAAAAAAATAAGAGCCTTAAGTTGAGTTGGATTTTTAGTTAGTTGATTGCATATGAAATAAGACAACTTGTTATAGTCGGTTAAGTTGGATCTTTAACTCATAACCAATTGCATATGAAATAAGACAACTTGCTATTAGACAACTTGTTGTAGGTTTTCTGTTAAACAAAGTTATATTTTTACAAAAAAAAAAAAAAAATATACATATTTGATAGATTTTCGATTAAGTTGCCTAATAGTTATGCAGTTATACTCTTACAATAAATATACATACTCAAATGTCATACATTAAAATTAAATATAAACCAAAGTGTTGTACCAAAAAAAAAAAAAAATATATAAACCAAAGTGATATTTCATAGTATAAATATAATAAATATACATTTGTCAAGAAAGTCTAGCAAACTAACTAATAATTACTTTTGTGGTAGTTGATTTTTACATGGAAATTATAATTAATATCTAAACCAAAACAATTTTCCCAAAATAAATAAATAAATTCATGATTAAAATGGGCTATATATCATTATTTCTGAAGCAAAATCAAAGCTCCTCATCATCCTTGCCTAGGCAAAGACTACCTCATCTCATCTAAACTTCTCTTCTAAATGCATCTAATCAAAGAAAAAAGAAAAAGAAACCTTCAACTAACATGCTTTGGTGATCAAAATTAAAGACAAAAAAAAAAAAGGTTTCCAAAAAAAACTCTTCTACAAATGTAGAGACAAATCAAGATTCTGCCTCCCACAATCTCCATGTCCATGCTCATCATCATCACCATCATCATTCCAATTGTCCTTCTCATACACCACAACATTGTCGAACACGGGCCCACCATTTGGCCCGAACCCATTTATCATCATAGGGCCATGATAGGCTCCTACATAGGCTGATGGGCTCACAAAGCCGAAAGGGTGGTTTGCGGCGAGGTTAAAAGGCGGAGGAGCCATTAGTGCCATGTAGTCGCATGTAAAGGAAGACGAAAATGCCCTTCGGCCTTTCCCTGCCGCCGTTCGTTCTTTCCGGTGGGCGTTTTGGTGCCCGCCCAGCGCTTGCGAGCTGTGGAACTTTCTCGAGCAGTAGAGGCAAGAGAATGACTTGGTTGTACCTCCCGCTTTGTTATGGGAACCGTGCCTTGTGTGATGATCAACCTCCATTTGTTAGTCCTGCGAATTAAGGAAAAAAACAAGACAAGAGAGTAAATAGAGTTGCTATTTTGGATCGAGTTGTATGCGACCCCAACTTGGTTCGACTCGTAAAAGTTGAAGTACAGTTCATTCGTTCACTTAAACGACTCCGAACTCGAACAACTGAACAAGCTTGTTTGTTAAATGAGTCGAGCTAAGCTTGCTTGATCGCATTTCTTTTATTGTTTGTTAGAATATTACTTTATTGTTTGTTAGAATATTACTTGTGGGTTGTCGTCCCACATTGATTCTTTAGGGAAGATTGAGTCTAGTTTAGACAGCTAGTGGACTACTCTTTCCATTATCAATTAGTTTTGGGATGAAATCTCGTGCAGCTAAGCTCACTCCCTCATAATGAGCTAAAAGAAATATATATACATATAAATAGCATAATGTAAAAAACCTTGAGAAGGTAGGTGCAAATCCTAATGAGGAAAGAGTTTTGTTAGAACATTGGTTTGGCATCATGTCCGACAAACCTAAGTGTTTTCTAGAAGATTTCTTGTTAAACAAGCAAAATAAATTAAAGCGAAGTTTTTCTATTTATTTACTTATGATTTAATTAAGTTCCTAATATTTATTATCAATAATATATGGTATATATTTATTGTAGTATGTATTATGGAATCCTAATCCTTTAGGAGAAGGATTACATAATATATATCCTATATATTTACTTACCATGTATGCCACATGCCATAATTAGTTCTCTTTTACTTGTAGGACAAGGAATAGGTGGCAAGGACTATGAAAGGATGAGCTTTCCATACAAGAAGAGTTCTGGACGTTCATGAGAAGATCTAAGGAGGATTTGGAAAGATTCACCACAAGATCTTTGAAGATTTGGAAGATCGGCTATTTTTGGAAAGTCATGTTCTTACCAGATTCTTGGAACGCGTTTTTCCATTGTAAGCTCAATTCTGAAGATCTCCAAATCACATACACGATTTCTACATCAAGGAAACTTACCTTACATGGAGGATTTCGTCCAAATCAGAAAGGAATCAATTGAGAAGGAAATTGACTCCTAAAAGGTAAAGGAAGAACTGTGAAGACTTCCTTACCTTAAGGAGGTTGTATATAAGCCTACTCAAGCAATCAATTGAAGACAAGAAAGCTGTTGCAAATCAAGTTCATCATTCATCAGCTTCAATTGAGTGTTTGAGAGTTTCTATTATTTTTATTTTATTCGGTCCAGTTTTTCAGCGTTCTTACAGTGCTGAAGAACTGAACTCGTTTTGTTTCTTCTCTTTTACAAACACTTTGTTTTAGTGCTTAGGGATTAAGTACTGAGTTTTGCTCGAGGGATTCGAGTGTGTAAAGTCCACGGGACGTGGCCGGAGAAGTAGTTGATAGGATCGTGTGTAGTTGTGGCTAGACTAGAAGGGAGTTCGAGTCGTGTAAGTCCAAACTATACAAGTGTAAACGGTTTATCAATGAAAGAGCTCTGAGGGGAAGTGGGACGCTTCCCTGAAGAGTTTTAAAATCTTCGGTTTATTGTTTCCGCTATTTACGTTGTTTATCCACGTTCGTACTACATTTCGCGCACTCGGGAAATTATACGTTTCAAGTTTAACTATGACTATTTTTTTTTTTTCTATTTTGTATTTGAGATTTGAATCAATATAAGGGGTGTTGAAAATTATGTAGAAGTAGATTTGGAGTATGTGGAGATATTGATGTGTATATATATATCGTGGTGATGGTGTGGTGTGGTGTGGTGTGTGTGTGTGTATGATATTGTTGGGTGCATTGATTGCATTTATAAAATCAAGAAGTTGTGTTTGTGTGTATGGGCTCTGAGCAGAAGAGATGGAGAGAAAGTTAAAAAGTATGTGAAGTAGAGGTTTCTGAGTATTGCAGCAAAGAGAGTGATTGTTGTCTCTTGTTAATAACCAGTCTTATTATATATACGGCAGTTTCGACGAATTTAAAAATTCAACTTTTTTTTTATTATTTTTTATTTGTCTTTTCAATACGGTTCGGCCAGGAACCGGCGAGCTAGTTGTGAACCGTGAAATATTGGTTCATTGAACTGACCTGGGTAGATTATCGAACCGATTCAAATTCCACAAAAAAAATGTGAACCGGAACCAATTTTTCACCACCTCTAGACGGTCATACTAATTTTCTATAAATAAAAATAATTAATAAATATTAAAAATATGGTTTAGATTTTTTTTTTTTTTTCCTGTTACTATTTTATATAGTAGTGAATTTGGAAATGGGACACATGAATTTCTATAATAAAGGAAATTGAGCTGTATTTATTTTTTCCTCACCCTTTCAAGTTGGTTCTTCTGTTTTTATGTTCTTCATTAAAGGGGAAGTTTATTTATTTAAAAAAATAAAAAAAAATAAGTAGACAAAAATTAAAAAAAAAAAAAAAACTGTGGACCAAAATCAAATAGCCGTATTCTCGGAATACGGTTTTTTTAAAAAAAATTAACTATAAAAACGTATTCCGAGAATACGTCTTATATTATTTTTAAATTAAAAAAAAAATATCAAACTTCGATTAATATATTATTCTAATATAAAAAAAATAGTTTATATAAAAAGTAAAACGTATTTTGGAAATCCGTTTTACCTAAAACGGATTTCGGGAATACGTGTTATAGAAGAATTAAAAAAAAAATATTTTTAAATTAAAACTGTCGGTGGACGTATTCTCAGAATACGTTTTTACAAATAAAACTGTCGGTGGACGTATTCTCAGAATACGTTTTTAATATTAAATATAAAAAAAAAATATTTTCCTCTCCATTTCATTTACGCGAGAGAGCAGAAAAAGAGAGCAAGAAGAAGCGAAAAAATTCGGAAAACAAAAACTCGATCCAATCTTTACCTCGGTATGAATCGCCAACACCGATACGAGCCTCATTTTTTATTAATTCATTCGCACGAGGTATATTGGCTTATCTTTACTTTTTACATTATTTGGAGTTGTTTGGAGATTGAGGGTTGTTATAATATGTTTGAATGTGGTTGTGTTTGAAGATTGAAAATTGTTAATTGTTTATCGATTATGTGTGTATGTTGAATTGAGGATTGGAATTTTGTGTGTAAATTGTCAATTGTTTGATTGTTGTTGGGGTTAGGGTTGTTCGAAATTAGGGTTATAATTAGAGCTTTCAATTTATTCGAATTATAGATGAATTTTATGTTATTGTTCGATTATGAGTATTAGGTTTTGGAGGATTATTTGATTGAGAATTTTTTTTTTATTTTTTTTGTTGGAGTAAAAAATTGAGTTTTAAATTTTATTTAGACATTATGTGTTGTTGTAATTGGAAAGAATTGAAAGTGTATTATTGCAACAGGTATAAAATGGCTTATTCCGGTCCGTACCTTGTTAACTTGTACTGGCATTTTGAGAAGGAAATGTTAAGAGATTTTGTTTCGTTTAAAGATCGTCCAAGTGGTTCATTTATTATTCCGGGAAGAATATCATATGAACAGTTGGTACAGATGATTAATGCAAAATGTCATTTGGAAGAAGGTTGGACAATTCAGGAGATTACTATGATGATTAGCCAACCTGATGGTTCGTGGAATCCTGCAATACTCAATAACGATAGTTTTGAATGGATTTATTACTTTCCTAGTATGTCCATGGTGTATTTGCATTTATCGTTGCAGGCAAATACACCCGTTACACAGTTTGAGGATGTTACTCCTTGTTACGGGGGAGTGTTTGATGTCGAGGGTACGTCGACTTCTCATCTACCTAATTTTGGAGAAGGGACATCGAGAGAATGGGCGGCGGATGAGGACGGAGAAAATATTGATGAAGATTTTATTCCCGGTGAAGATGATTTCACATACGAGACCTCAGAAACCGAATCAGATAGATCGGTAAATGAGGAGAGTGAACCTGAGTTCGTCGAAGAAGAACACCCATTTCCTAGCGGTGGTCGGCACATATACCGCGAGATGGGTGAATGGGACTCGTCCAGGATAGATGCGAACGAGTATGCTATTCCACTCTGGAATGGCGACATTGAGACCATACGTTTGAATACAGTTTTCCGGAGCAAGGAAGAAGCTCAAAAGGGTATAATGGCTTGGAACGTCGATAGGTTGCGGGAGATTCGGACAAAAGATTCAAATAAGAAGACATTCAAAGTGGTCTGCAACTCGAATGCTGATGTGCCTTGTCTGTGGAAGGCTTGGGTGAATAAGGCCAAACGACGTGATGATTTGTGGGAAGTAACTGAATGGACTGACCAACACACTTGCATGCAACAGGTCGACAGAAATGACCACAGAAATGTGACCGCCCATATGATTGCGAATCTTATAATTAATAAGATTCAGAGGAAAGTGGAGTACAACATTAACATGGTCCAGGCTGATGTGAAGCAGTGTTGGAAAGTCGACGTC